CGGGTGTGGGTGCGGGTGCGTGGGTGTGGGTGCGGGGGTGTGGGTGCGGGTGCGGGCGCGGGTGCGCTTCGCGCTCTGAGCCAGCGCGGAGGCGCCGCGGTGCCTGTTGCTGCTGCTGGGTCAGTGATGACACAGGGGACAGCTTCATAGTGGCGGAGAAGCTGCTCAAACTACTGAGACATTCCCAGGTGATATTTTGGAGGCTCCAATACTTGTAGGCAGCATTAAAGTGTTTATGACATTACATATTTAAATAGAAGACTTAGAATATAATGGCAATTTGGAACAAAAGCCTAAAATGCTTCCCCAGATTCCCAGCTCTCTTGGGGACCTTTCTGCATGGCCAGCGGGTCCCAACGCCACGCGCGTGCCCGCTGGGGGAACTGGGGGAACTCTAGGCAAGCCAGTGGGCTAAAACGCCTTCACGTGCAATATAAGGAAAATGGGATTTGGGGCTGGGGTGGGGGGCGGGGTAGCCTCAGTTTTTTTCTCCATTTTCTATAAAAGCGCAGGCTCACACTTGGAAGTGAGCAGGGCATGTAGCTGGCGGAGCGGGAGGCACTGAGCGCACAGTAGGCTTCAAGTGTCCTCTCAGTCCCCGGAGGCCGCTGTGGGCCACGGGCAGGGTCAGGCTGCGCTGTCCCGGACGCCCGGCGCCCGCGGGTGGACCCTGGCTGACAGCTCGGGCCCTGACGGGTGGCTTGGGCCAAGGAGATGCAGGAAACCCCTCCCATTCTCTACTGTTCTGGATTATAAGTTATCGGTAAAATAATTTTTATTGTTACTTAAATTTAAGCATTTCTAGAGCCCTGGGCTAAGCAGATGCCTATAATTTCATTCGTGGGCACTTTGCTGTCCTAAAGCCCCACCCTCTTTGTCGGTGCCCATCACCACTCCATTCGCAGGATCTTTGTTTGAACATCCCTTCCTCGTAAATGTTTTCATCTTGTTTTTTTAAAGGTTCAGTTTCAACGTGTTATTTTTCATGAAAAGTCGCTGACCTGTTGGTAAAAATAAAGCCTACTGAACTGAGAAGGTTTGGCCTTTGTGTTTTAATTTTTGTAAAGAGCAGGACAGAAAATGCATTTGTACTGAACAGAGAGAGGGAGAGTTTAAAGCTCATCTTGGTTCAGGTCCTCGTGGAGACGATGGGGCAGGAGGGAAAGAACGGAGTCAAATGCGGGTGAATTAGGGAGACGACGGGCGAGGAGGGAAATGAGTCTAAATTCGAAAGGAGGCTGTGTCCATGGAGCGAGGAGAGGGAGGCACACTTGGGGCGCCGGAGGAAGGAAGGGGGCGTGGGGCTGGATGGAGGCGGGGGCCCTGCTGGTGGGAGCGGTTTCTCCCCTGCGGTTCCCCTCCTGCAGCCACAGTGCTCCCGTCACCACCCGGAGGGCTCCCCGGTCCTTGCTGCCCTTTACTTTCCCCTGCCAGGCCCGCGGCCTCCCTGCGTCGCCCGAGAGAAGGGAGGAGAGGCCTGGGGCAGTGTGGTGCCGAGTTTCTGGGCGGAACAGTTACTCCGTGGAAAAGAGGAAACCCGGCTGAGGGGTAAACGTGGACAGGGTGTCCCCATGTCAGCTCCACCCAAGCGCGCATTTTCTTTCGGAGAACACTCACCACTTTTTAGCTTGTGCAAGGCAACCTTTCAAACACAGCTAATACGCTTAAAGCAGATACAGAGAAGAGAGCTGTGTTTCTCGGAGGCTTTGTCTCCGTTGCTTGTCTTGTGGTTTCCTACGTGAGGTCACCAGACGTCAGCGCGGCTACACAGGACACTGCCAGCAGCTCTTCATATTCAGCACCTGCACGTATTTCCATAAAATAGCATGTTCGTGATAAGAACAGAGAGAACACGTTCTGGATTTCTCTCTTTGGAGAGCCTTATGAAACCCTATCAAGTCCGATTTTTAAGAATTTTGGTGTGCGGGAGCCTGCTCGGGCCGGCTTGTGAGAACCGATTGTTAGATTTTCAGGAATCTCTCAAGCCAGCCAGTAAACCACGGGCAGGTGACGGTGCGCGTGCCCCCAGTGGCCACGTGGGGGCAAGTGCCCCGTGGAGACTGGCAGGTGCTGCAGATTGGGACTCTGCCTCCAGGGAGACGGTGGTTAAGCATTTACCAGCCACCACTGTGTGTGCCACACAAGCGGCAGTTAAGTGCACACACGCATGTACACGTACTGCAGATACACTATCATAAGCATTTCAGAGGCGGAATAGGACTTTCAGGTCGTATTTCAGGCAAATTCATGTTTATACCCACCTCCAACACCGACGTTGCATCCGCGTGAGATGACCAGGAGTTAGTGTGAAGTCCTCCCCTACTTCCCCGATAAACCCAACAGACTTCAAGCCTGTGAGCGACTGACCGCAGTTAATGCCTTGGGTTTTGTCCCTTTGCCGCGAGGTCACAGCTGCATGCCTTCTGCGTGACACCTGCTGGCAGCTACGCCCCAGCTCGGGCAGCGGGCGCCGTCTTCCCGTTTAATTCTTTCATGAAGTGAGTATTTCATGGGGCAACAATTAGCCTTTGCCAGCTTGGCAGGTTGCTTTGTTGGCCAATAATTATAAGACTGACAAACGGTAAAGGTCATGACCTTGGGAGAAAAAGTTTGTGTGGCCCTGAGAAGGTCCAGTGGATGCTCATGCGCAGGACTTGTGCTCTTTCCATGAAGGCTGTTGGCTCCTTGGAGGCGAGTCTTGTTATTTTAATCACCAGAATGATGTAGCATTGAATTCTTAACAAACGGCCAATCTAATCTGAACAGATGAGCGACTAGCAACCAAAATTGACCTGTAAGGACTCAAGTGATCATATACTCAGGGTTTTTTCTTACACTTGGGAGTTTCACTCAGAAGTAAAGACCCGCTCAAACCGTTAATACTGTATTTATGGAATTTGAGAGTCTTCTGGAAAATAATAGTGAAATATTGAAAATGATAAAGGCTTTTTCAAATGTTACGATAATGTTATTTATAAATTACTGGCCAGATGGAGTAAAACATACTATGAACTTGTACTTAAAAAACAAACGAACTGTTTCCTGTACACAAAGAAAACAGAAGTATGTAAGGACTTGAATCTATATGTATATACATTTTACAATGTTTATTTTGTGTTTTATTACATAAAATAGTCATTTACAGCTAGTTACTCCAGAAATTTCCATCACACACAAGGATGAACTCAGTGGTCTAGTGCGTTGGCATTTCCATCAAGTGTGATCCTAGAAAATGTCAAGTGGACAGGGGGGTATTCAAGTACAGTGTGACTGTATCCTAAATTATTTAGTGTGGCCAAATGAAGTTTTTAGTGTATTTCACGCTGATTCTTCGGGCAACATTTCTGTTGTGGGGGCATTCGTTACCACTCCCTAGTAAGATAACATTTAAAAAAACCATCCTTCAGAGCCACATTTGTCAGAGTATTTAAAATGAGGCCAACCAGAGGGGAGACATTTCTGCATTCTGACTATTGCCTTTGAATGGCTTGGTGGGATTGTCATAGATCCTCTCTTTTCTTAATGATCATTTGTCTAATCAGATCTGCGATCTCAGGCCGGATGACTTCAATGGGCTCCTCTGGCCTCCAGGTCTTCACAACTTGACCCTCGGGGTTGACCAGATATTTCCAAAAATTCCATCTTGGTTCTTTCTTTGAAGAATCTAAAATATCAGAATATATTTTTATGAGCATGATTTTATTTTTGTCAAGATTTTTAATTCTATGAGGATCTGCATAAGCAACAACTTTAGAAACAGGTTCTAGGATTGTCACACTATGAAAAGCAAAACACCCAAACAAAGCAAAACTCAAGATTTGAGGAACCAGGTTTCTGGATACCTGGTGACTCCACTAATGACTTCTGAACTAGAATCATGAAATAAAGTAGTTTATTTCAGACTTGTTGATCTAAACAACAAAAAATTTACCTTGTCACTAACTCACAACGTTCAGTTTCTTAACATTTTTAAAGATGCAATGACATTCTGAAAGTCCTTTGTAAAGAGAATGTGTGGATTACTTCTCATATTAAATATATCTATTTTTTAATATTGTTACATTACACTGCAGAAAATGGTAAAAAATTTTAAATAATCATTATTTTGAGACACTCTTTTGATGCACCTTAATTTACATAAGAAATGTACATTTTTTTCCATTTATATCACCCTGGATTTATGTGCGTTATTATTGACTAGCATGAGAAAAAAATATAACTAAAATTTATCAAGTGCCTACTATGTGCCCAGTAATGCTCTCAGTGCTCTAAATGGATCCAGTGCTCTCTACAGCAACCCTGGGAGGTGGGCCCCATTTTTCAGATGAGAAAAGCGGAGGCCCAGACACCAGGTCCCACGGCCGGTGAGTGGGGAGCCCGAGTGACATCTGCACCTTCTTCCACAGAGCTCACGCTCTGTTACCTCCATAGGGGACCCGGCGAAGCAGGTGGGTGCTAGGAGGAGGGTGATGAGTCATTTTCTGTACCCGCGGGACTCGGGTGTAGGTGGGACACCGATCGGGGGAGGCAGCTGGGTGTGAGGCTTCGGAGCTGAGGAGAGGGGATGGAGTAGGGGGGCCAGTGGATTTCAGGGAGAACCCTGAGGATCGCTGAGTAGGGGCGGATGGGAAAGGGACCCTGCAAAGGAGAAGGAGGGCCGAGTGGGGGTCACAGGCCCAGGAGCCACCAGGTCCAGGAGGGTGTGCGGCCAGGAGCCGGGCCCAGGGATCTAAGAAGGAACTGGAGAGACGGAAGCAGAGAAAGGCCTTAACCACCCTTCCAAACCCGGGAGGAGGGAGGTGGAAGGAAGGCGCTGCCCGGGGTTTTCAAAGGTGGGAAACACTTTGCCTTATGCTGGGAAAGAACCGGTGGGAGCAGCGGTGAAAAATAATACAATGTGGCCTGATAGTTACTCCTGTTTGCACACTGCCAAGCACTTAAGTTGGTTATGTCATTGTTAGAAGTACTGTCCAGCTCTGGCCGATTTTGCTCAGTGGTTAGTGCGTAGGCCCTCGGACAGAAGGGTCCAGGGTTCGATTCTGGCCAAGGGCACGTACCTGGGCTCAGGCTCCACCCCTGGCCCGGGTCAGGGGCACATGTGGGAGGCAACCCATCGGTGTGTCTCTCTCACATCCATGTCTCTCTCCCTCCTCTCAGAAAAGCAACAAAAAATATCCTCGGGTGAGGGTTAAAAAACTCAGTAGGAGCACATTGTTACGTTAAAGCCTCTTCAGATCATCTTGAAAAATCGTCCTTTATTATAACGGAAGCCGTGTTTCTGTCTAAGACAGCGCCGTCAGGCACGGCTCTCTAGCTGATGTAACGTAACGTCTTTGTGTGGATTAGAAAACGGTGCCCTCCCCGGTGGGTGTGGTCCTGCCACCTGGCTGGGCTCCAGTCCCCACGTGCCCCTCACCCGGGTGCCCTGAANGGCTTAGTGGTTAGCGCGTCGGCCCTCGGACAGAAGGGTCCAGGGTTCGATTCTGTCCAAGGGCATGTACCTGGGCTCAGGCTCCACCCCTGGCCCGGGTCAGGGGCACATGTGGGAGGCAACCCATCGGTGTGTCTCTCTCACATCCATGTCTCTCTCCCTCCTCTCAGAAAAGCAACAAAAAATATCCTCGGGTGAGGGTTAAAAAACTCAGTAGGAGCACATTGTTACGTTAAAGCCTCTTCAGATCATCTTGAAAAATCGTCCTTTATTATAACGGAAGCCGTGTTTCTGTCTAAGACAGCGCCGTCAGGCACGGCTCTCTAGCTGATGTAACGTAACGTCTTTGTGTGGATTAGAAAACGGTGCCCTCCCCGGTGGGTGTGGTCCTGCCACCTGGCTGGGCTCCAGTCCCCACGTGCCCCTCACCCGGGTGCCCTGAACACCTGCACTCCTGTACCAGGGTCGGTCACTGCCCAGTTTGGCCAGTTTTAAAATATCTAATTTTAATTTGACCATCATGTCATCGTCTTTGTCTCTGGAGCTTCATCTAGCTTCGGGGAGACCTGGCATCACCGTGGCCTTTGATTGCACAGGTAAGTGGAGTGTCAGAGCCCTTCTTAGTGACAGAGGGGAAGAAACCGGGAGTGACTGGCAGCTGAAACTGAGGAAGGCTGGGCACGTGCTCCGGCTTCTGCCTCCTCGGCCTACCCTAGGGCACCGTTAGCTGCTGTGCTGGACTGGCAGCTTGGTTGCCTGACTGAAGCCTTAGTTTATCAGAATCCGAGTGATCTACGGGGAAAACAGGGCTGAGGACATCAGCTGCCTAATGAGACAAGAGGACGTTACTGGTCTGGGGCAGGCAGTGTACGTACTTTACTCTCACCATTGACCCAACCTTCCAATCTCAGAAGGCAGACAGCATCGATCGTCTCATTTTACAAGGGAGGAGATGGGCACAGAGAAGTTAAGCTATGTGCCTGAAGCCACACAGCAAAGCAACAGAGCAGGGGCTTGAAGCCAGTAGACTGGGCCAGGCCCATGCCTTTAGTCACTGAAGCTCACTGCCTTTATGCTAACTGACCCTGGGGAATCTGCACAGAGATCTCTGCAGCCAGCGTACGCCTAACACTACCTCCACCAAAAAAAATCGTTATATTGTTTTGAATTTTAGCAAAAACCCAGTAAACTGAGTATTATTCCTCCTTGAGGAATGTAAAATCCACCAGAGATCAGACACGAGGAGAACTGAGGCACTCGATGGGCACGGCTCTGACCGCACCTCAAGTACCTTGTTCAGTAAAGTGATCATAAGGAGTAAATGCAGTGGAAGGGATTCATTTTGTCATCCAAGCAGCACAGGCACTGGCTGCAGGGAAGCATAACTCCCAGAAAGTTTGAAAGGGGTGAAACTGTGGCTCTCCGATGGTCTCATGAAACTTTCCCACTAAAACATTTTGAATGAACCAGGAAAGCGTCGTTTCAGAAACGAAAAGCGATGAGCAACGTTACATGGGTGAGGCAAGATATTTACCAACAAGAAATCTGAACGCAGGCTCTGCTTCAGGGCCCAGGACCTTGATCTTGTGGAAGATGGGGAACGTGGCTCCGTAGCTGTTTCTCGCGAAGGAGACCACCTCCCTGCTGGGGCGGGGCTCCGACTCCCCGAACTGGTTGCAGGGAAAGGCCAGGACGCTGAAGTGGAAGGGCCCGAACTCCCGGTGCAGCTCCTGCAGCGCTAAGTAGTTGCTGTCCGTGAGCTGGCAGTCACTGGCCACGTTGGCAACTAGGGTGACCTCCGGAAAAAGAAAAAAATCCAGCCGGAAAGTGATGCAAGGAGAAGATCAAAAGAGAATCCTGCAAGTAGTTAAAACCCTAAGCCGACTGGGGGGGAGTACAGCCTCTGATAGACGGTTATTTCATGTTTTAGACACACCCGACTTTACTGAAAATCACAGCCTGGATGCCCGAGCTTAGGCTCCGGGAGGTCACTCCCATTCAAAAGCATCGGGTGTTCACAAGAGTTTATTTTTTTTTAAAAAAAGAACATGATCCTCGAAAGAGTGCTTTCTAATGTTGTTAATGTCTCCACAGTCACATTACTAATGACAAGAATTTCCTAAACAACTTAGAGTATTAATTCAGCACATAAATGAAAACATTTTAAAGAAAAGATAACCAGAGTTTATCAGTTAGAAGTATGTAAACTATGAGAACCCTGATGGCCAAAATGACACACTAACAACATTCCTTTAGTGTAAATTGTAACACGGCCACAATGAGAGCGTGGCAACAACAGGAAGGCCAGGGCAGAAAATCAGAAGATGCAACTTACTTTGCCTCTAAACTTTTCCAGAGAAACGGGCCTGCCTTTGGCATCTTTCACTTCAAAGGTGTAGAAGCTGCTGACTTTGGGCTTCAGGAACTTCAGCTGCAGGAGGAACAGGGTCCCCGTGCACAGCGCCATCGACAGCAGGACCGCGAACAGCCTCGCCCGGGGCCCCGAGCATCTCAGAGGCTGAGCCGCCAGGGGCTCCATCTTGGAGGATCCGGAGGGAAGGCTCCTCGCTGGCGCCGAGGAGGAGCTGAAACCCGAAACCCGCAACCCGCCGCTTAAAGGAAAACCGGGAGGGACAGACCGGCCCCTGCCCGCCAGCTGGGCGCCCAAAGGCCCCCGCAGATGGGAGGGGAGTGGAACTGCCCAAGGAGAGCGCCGAAGAATTGCGAGGTAGTTATGACGTTATTTGCAATTTCTGCAAGAAAAAGCAGGACATTTTTGGTAGCTCTTTCACACCCTCCCAACAAAGAAATTATTTCACCAGCAGATGGTGCCCTTGTCACTTGAGAGCAGTGAAGTTCTCCCAGCAACGGGCTAGGTCAGAGGGCCGGGCGCACAGCGCCCGGGGAACAACAGCTCAGCGTGGAGATCTGTTAATATGATGTAGGACCCGGAGATGCTGTGTATAGGTTTTAAACATGCTCTATGAGTTCAAGGAATTTATAGTGGAAAGGGTGGTAAAATATCGGAAAGGCTACCTAGTCTGACCCTGTCTCACTAAGGCAATGCCAGGTGAATATAGTGGAAATAAATAAACAATGATGGCTTTTAAAAAAAACCCTCCTCTATGATAAAGGAAATTATGGTCCAGTGTTTTTCAAATTTCTGAGCATGAGCCACAGTAAGAAATGAACTTTACAGTCTAACTCACAGACACATATCACTGGGAAGTTTCATTAAGCAATATTTCCTACTCGAACATCAATGCACCTGGGTCAATCGCATTTTAAAACACCTGGTTCTGACCCATGAAAATGATTTCATGTTTCGCCAACGGGCTGCAACCTGTAGGTGAAAATATACTGAACTCAGCAATAAAGCAGGAATTTAACGATTAAATAAGATAATTCACCCAAAGAGCAACCTACCCCCCTCCAGCTCACCTCTACTTGGGGGTGAGCCAAGCTGCTTTATCTTTATTTTTCCTCTGGCAGCCTCCTGTGGGAGGTCTAAGTTTACAGTTGAAACTTTAGGGGTAGCTGTGGAGAGGGAATTGCATTCCTGAAACGCATGGTTCCTCAGCCTCCTTGGAACCGGCCCTGTGAGGCCCATGGCACGTTTTGAGTTAAGGTGCTTTGCTCCACCTGGGCCCCACTGTTGCGTTTCCAGGAGGTGCTGGGAAAGCCCTGGGATGGTGGGAGCACCCTTCCCATCACCATCAGGTCCCCGGGGTGGCTCTGCTTCTGGGCCCTGCTTCTGTGGGGCGTGTGTTTGGGGCAGCTGAGCAAAGCCTGCAGCTTAGCAGCGTGAAACCCGTCAGAGACGAATATGCCACTTGACTCTTGGGGCCTGGTAAGAATGGATACAGTAGGAAGGTGTCCTCTTGCGAACACAGTTTCTAGCAAAGAACAAAACTGTATACTTTTTTATTTTTAAAATTTTATTATTTTTTAAAAATATGTTTTTATTGATTTCAGGGAGAGGAAGGGAGAGGGAGAGAGAGAGAAACATCAGTGATGAGAGAGTCATTGATCAGCGGCCTCCTGCTGGAGATCGAGCTCGCAACCTGGGCATGTGCGCTGACTGGGAATGTGACCTCCTGGGTCATAGGTTGACACTCAACCGCTGAGCCACGCCAGCCAGGCATCACTTCTTAACTGTGATAATTCCACTTTGTGTTCTCTGGCTGAGTTACGGAACAAGTCAGCGTCCCTGTGTTTATGTCACACCGAACACTGCTGTGCAGCTTCGATCCTCCGGCCTCGCTGCTCCTGGCAGGGTCCTCGGGTCCAGGGCACTGCTGTCACCTGGGCGCTGGTGAGAATGTGGCATCTGAGGCCCCACCTGACTCCTGAGTTCTTCCAGGACCCCCCCCCATGACAAGTGCACCTGTGAGTTCGAGAAGCTTTAGCCCACATCCATTTGGTTTCCCAAGCAACAGGCCTCTTGGTTTCCCCTTCCTTCCATGGTAGAGGAGTTTCCTCTCTCTGTCCACACGAGATAATTTAACTAGCTCCTCGGGCTGTTCAAGCGCTTGGCTAGAAGCCTGAGTCCTAAAGTTAATTCACAGAGCACCTGCTGCAAATGGAACCACGTGAACCATCCCAGCATGACTGGGCTTTGAGGAGGGGACGGGTTACCTCGGGGAGAGAGCTCACTGCTCATACCCCGGCAGGGCCCCAGAGGGGGCTGTTATTTTGATAAAATCATTACGGTGGTTTCCAGCCCATTGTTTTATAAGCGTCTGTCAGAGCGTGGCCTCTGCGAAGGCCACAGTCATGCTGCGTAAACCTGTAAGAGGCCGCTGTGGCTGCCGGCTCGCCGGTACAGCCCGAAACAGGACAGCTGTGCGGGCCTGGTGCTTCCCGATGGCTTCGCCGGAAAACCCCCTGCATATGAAAATTGCTTTGAAAGCTCAGGTAAATCTCTTATCAGGGATGAAATCAGAGCCAGTTTGTTAATTTTATGATTCTTAAGGCTTAGAAACACAGTATATAAAAATATATATATATTTATGGTACGTAAGTATCCATACAGGCCCAACATGACCTGATATTCCAGACAACAGTTCGGGGGACTGTGACCCCTGGGCCTTGGTGAACACAAATGATTTCAGCCCTCAGGCGTGTCTTCGTTGCTCATTTGACGGAGCTTTCTCTGTGTACGTGGTATTGTCATCTTCGCTTCCGTGTTCTGTCTGTACGAGAACCATCCTCCGGTTGGAAGTGTGTCAACATCGCGGATTTCTCTGCACGAGGGACGGGCTGGAGAGACCACCGCTCTCACTCAGAAGGTCTGGGGGGCTCCCCAAAGGGGGAGAGACGGTGAGCATGAAGGGCAAGGTCAGGGGGAGCTACGGGGTCAAGGGAAGGATAAGGCAGGTGGTTCCGTTAATCAACCCTCAGGGGCTGGAGAAGACACAAATAGAGGGCAAGCGATAACACCTGCCTCACTCAAGTGTGAAGTCAATTTTCAAGAGAGACAAAACATGAAATAATTAGGGAGCAATGACAAGGCAGCAAAGAACCGAGTGCTAAATGAACGACGTGTTGGCAGAGAGCTTTATTAAATATATTAAATAAACATACACATCAAATGCGATCATGTGTAGTACAAAGCTCTCTACAGACGTGATTGTTTGAAACAGAAGGAAGTTTTTAACTCACCCAGGGTCACAGACCTAGAGTTCCGGAGTTCCAGCTCCATAACCAAAATTATCTCAGCTACACTAAACCGCCTCTGTAACAGATAAAATATATTTCCTTAAAGGAAAACCACGTAGGTGAGATGGCCGTAGTGTCTAGTGAAGGGGTTTTATCTGCTGGGAGACATTTAGCTTTATAAGAAATGACTGGAAGCGTCTGGCAACCCACAGGAAAGCCTGGCCGTGGGTCCCGGGTTCTCTGGAGGGGGTGGCAGGGGGCTGCGGTGGGTCCCGGGTTCTCTGGAGGGGATCCCAGGGGGCTGTGGTGGGTCCCGGGTTCTCTGGAGGGGGTCCCAGGGGGCTGCCGTGGGTCCCGGGTTCTCTGGAGGGGGTCCCAGGGGGCTGCCGTGGGTCCCGGGTTCTCTGGAGGGGGTGGCTGGCGGGCTGCCGGGCAAGCCCAGCGGGGGGATGGCAGTGTCTCCTTGAAGGCAGCTGGTCAGGGCCGCCCGGGAAGGGAAGGGGTGCTGAGGACTCCGCGAGCCCGGCGGGGGCGCTGGCAGTGGAAGGGACAATCTGAAATGTCCGCCTGGAATTACCTTGACGGCTTTTCTTGGGTCGTATCGCCCAGGGGGACGAGAGACACTGAGGTTCCAACATGAGAGGGTGAGCGTTTGGGTGTTTTGGTTCCTGATTCATTTGAAGTGGTATCGAGACCTTGAATTTGAAGTGTCCTGTGGACGGGCTGGTGGTGGGGGGACAGACATTCAGGGGCCTGGGACAGGGCTGGGAACATACGCCTGAGAGCTCAGGGCCCCCTTGCTACTCCTGTCTCGGCCTCGAGGTTTTAGGGAGACCCTGGTGTCCCAGCGCCTTTCCAGGGATGTCTGGGGTTTTCCCGCCCACTGAATGCTTGTGTCAGATGGTTTGTCACTAGTTGTGTATGGGTTCCTATCGCATCTTGTCATTCCCTGACCTTATTTTGACCTCTTGAGGTTCCTATTTATTCTCTGGCCCCAGGGCCCTGGTTCCTCCCGATTTAGCATCAACCCCCGTGAACCCTGCGGGTAAACAAGCCGGACTGATGTGCGGGGGGAGNATAAACATACACATCAAATGCGATCATGTATAGTACAAAGCTCTCTACAGACGTGATTGTTTGAAACAGAAGGAAGTTTTTAACTCACCCAGGGTCACAGACCTAGAGTTCCGGAGTTCCAGCTCCATAACCAAAATTATCTCAGCTACACTAAACCGCCTCTGTAACAGATAAAATATATTTCCTTAAAGGAAAACCACGTAGGTGAGATGGCCGTAGTGTCTAGTGAAGGGGTTTTATCTGCTGGGAGACATTTAGCTTTATAAGAAATGACTGGAAGCGTCTGGCAACCCACAGGAAAGCCTGGCCGTGGGTCCCGGGTTCTCTGGAGGGGGTGGCAGGGGGCTGCGGTGGGTCCCGGGTTCTCTGGAGGGGATCCCAGGGGGCTGTGGTGGGTCCCGGGTTCTCTGGAGGGGGTCCCAGGGGGCTGTGGTGGGTCCCGGGTTCTCTGGAGGGGGTCCCAGGGGGCTGCCGTGGGTCCCGGGTTCTCTGGAGGGGGTCCCAGGGGGCTGCCGTGGGTCCCGGGTTCTCTGGAGGAGGTGGCCGGCGGGCTGCCGGGCAAGCCCAGCGGGGGGATGGCAGTGTCTCCCTGAAGGCAGCTGGTCAGGGCCGCCCGGGAAGGGAAGGGGTGCTGAGGACTCCGCGAGCCCGGCGGGGGCGCTGGCAGTGGAAGGGACAATCTGAAATGTCCGCCTGGAATTACCTTGACGGCTTTTCTTGGGCCGTATCGCCCAGGGGGACGAGAGACACTGAGGTTCCAACATGAGAGGGTGAGCGTTTGGGTGTTTTGGTTCCTGATTCATTTGAAGTGGTATCGAGACCTTGAATTTGAA